AGTTCATACTCTGGCCCCCCTTCGGGGTCCCACCCTGCCCCCCCAGGTGCTGGCATCGGCCCCACCATCCGGCGGTGATCACTGTGGACATGAAGGCAGCAGGCAAAGTGACCTGTACCATGTGCACGCCTGATGGCTCGGAGGTAGATGTGGATGTGGTGGAAAATGAGGATGGCACTTTCGACAGCTTCTACACAGCCCCCCAGCCAGGCAAATACGTTATCTGCGTGCACTTTGGTGGCAAGCACATGCCCAACAGCCCCTTCCAAGTGATGGTGAGGCGGGTAGAACAGGAGGGGGATTTGGCAGGTCCTAGCCTATCCCCTTGGGGACTCTCTGTGACAACAGATTCTACAGCTCTGTGCTTTGCCCTGCAGGCTCTGGCTGGGGACCAGCCCTCGGTGCAGCCCCCACTACAGCAGCTGGCCCCACAGTACACCTACACCCAGGGTGGCCAGCAGACTTGGGTATGGCCTGGCCAGCTAGGGACACTGGGGCTGGCCAGCTGGGTGTTCTGTGAGGTCCTATCATACCAGGTGTGAGGAGGGGCCCCAGATACTCCCACTCACGTAGACCCTGCGTCTCCACTGCAGGCACCAAAGAGGCCCCCGGTGGGTGTCAACGGGCTGGATGTGACTGGCCTGAGGTCATTTGACCTTGTCATCCCTTTCACCATCAAGAAGGGTGAGATCACAGGTGAGTGGGGTCGGGAAGAAGCCCTGGGAGCCAAGGAGGCCAGGTTATGCCAACAAGCTGCCCTAACCTCAGCCCTGCTGCCCCACAGGGGAGGTTCAGATGCCCTCAGGCAAGGTGGCACAGCCCGCCATCACTGACAACAAAGACAGCACTATGACCGTGCGGTATGCACCCAGCGAGGCCGGCCTGCATGAGATGGACATGCATTATGACAACATGCACATCCCAGGTGGGCCTGCCCTGCCTCTGACCACTGCTCTGTCACCACCTCACAGAGAGATGGGGCTGGGGGATGCACAAGGCTGCCATTCCACAAGGCCCCTCTTCCTGCCTCAGGAAGCCCCTTGCAGTTCTACGTGGATTGCGTCTGTGGCCATGTCACTGCCTATGGGCCTGGCATCACCCACGGAGTAGTGAACAAGCCCGCCACGTTCACTGTCAACACCAAGGATGCAGGAGAGGATGAGCAGTAGCTCTGTGCCTGGGATGCCCTCACCAGGTTAAGGGCTGGACTCGGGACACTCCCAAATGGGACCCCCATCCTGCTGCCCTGGCCTCTACCTGGCTGTTGGAGAACAACTGGTGTGTCCCCAGCACAGCTCCTATGCTTACCCACGGCTCTCTCCGGAGGGCCTGTCTCTGGCCGTCGAGGGCCTGTCCAAAGCAGAAATCAGCTGCACTGACAACCAGGATGGGACGTGCAGCGTCTCCTACCTGCCTATGCTGCTGGGTGACTACAGTATCTGGTCAAGTACAATGAACAGCACATCCCAGGCAGCCCCTTCACTGTCCGGGTCACAGATGGGTGGCACTGGGAGCAGTGACAAACAGGTGGCAGGGTGGGCAGTGATGGCAGCCCTGTTCCATGCCAGGTGACGACTCCATGCGGATGTCTCACCTAAAGGTGGGCTCTGCCGCTGACATCCCCATCAACATCTCAGAAACTGACCTCAGCCTGCTGATGGCCACCGTGGTCCCGCCCTCAGGGTAAGAGGAGCCCTGTTTGCTGAAGCGACTGCATAATGGCCTTGTTGGTAAGTGGCTGAGGGGGTCCAGCAGTTTTAGAAAGGAGGCAGTCTGTGGGGACCCACGCTTTCCCCGACTGACAGCCATTCCCGGTGCCTAGGGATTTCATTTGTGCCCAAGGAGACAGGGGAGCACCTGTTGCACAAGAAGAAAAATGGCCAACACGTGGCCAGCAGCCCCATCCCGGTGGTGATCAGCCAGTCAGAAATCGGGGTGCCAGCCACATTCGGGTCTCTGGCCAGGGCCTCCATGAAGGCCACACCTTTGAGCCTGCAGAGTTTATCATTGATACCTGAGATGCAGGTAGGCAGTTGCCGCCAGTTGGGGCAGGAACATTGTACATGGCACCCAAGCTCAGGGTTCTCCATCCCCCAGGCTTTGGTGGTCTAAGCCTGTCCATTGAGGGCCCCAGCAAGGTAGACATCAACACAGAGGACCTGGAGGATGGGACGAGCAGGGTCACCTACTGCTCCACAGAGCCTGGCAAGTACATCATCAATATCAAGTTTGCTGACCAGCACGTGCCCGGTGAGTGCAGCAGTGCCTTGGCAGCACCCCTCACCACACAAGGGCCCAGAGGCAGTGTGTGACTGGAGGGCATGGGCTGTGCTTTTTTCCTACAGGCAGCCCCTTCTCTGTGGTGACAGGCGAGGGCCGGGTGAAAGAGAGCATCACATGCAGGCATCAGGCTCCTTCAGTGGCCAACATTGGCAGTCATTGTGACCTCAGCCTGAAGATCCCTGCTAGGGTCTGTGGGGAGCCTGGGGCTCAGGCAGTCCCAAGAGGAGGGGTGGAGCCCAGGGCTGCTAGCCTGTCACCACTGTCACCACCCTGCAGAAATCAGCATCCAGGATATGACAGCCCAGGTGACCAGCCCATCAGGCAAGAGTCATGAGGCCGAGATCGTGGAAGGGAGAACCACACCTACTACATCCCCTTTGTTCCTGCTGAGATGGGCACACACACAGTCAGCGTCAAGTACAAGGGCCAGCACGTGCCTGGGAGCCCCTTCCAATTCACTGTGGGGCCCCTAGGGGAAGGGGGAGCCCACAAGGTCTGAGCTAGGGGCCCTGGCCTCGAGAGGGCTGAAGCTGGAGTGCCAGGTAGGCCTGCTCACTCCTGAGCGTTTGCTCTCCTGCATTGGCAGGGATGGGGTTGGGGGTGGAAGAAGGAGCTGGCAGGCATGCCTACCTTGGCTATGCCTGGAGGGGACCAAGGTTGGTGGAGCAGCCTTCAGTGAGGATGCACTTCTCCCACAGCCGAATTCAATATCTGGACCTGGGAAGCTGGTGCTGGAGGCCTGGCCATTGCTGCTGTCGAGGGCCCCAGCAAGGCTGAGATCTCTTTTGAGGACCGCAAGCATGGCTCCTGTGGTGTGGCTTATGTGGTCCAGGAGCCAGGTACTGGGAACTGGCTGGACGAGGTGGGGTTGGGACCTGGGGGTGGGCACTGGACCCAGGGGTTGTACAGATAGCTCTGCCTGGCCTCCACCCTTCACCTGGAGGTCCCAGGGCCACCCAGGCTGCTGAGCTGGTCTTATGCCCTTTCCCTGCCCAGGTGACTACAAAGTCTCAGTCAAGTTCAACGAGGAGCACATCCCTGACAGCCCCTTTGTGGCGCCTGGGGCCTCTCCGTCTGGTGACGCCCACCGCCTCACTGTTTCTAGCCTTCAGGTGAGGCACCGAGAGAAACCACCCACCTGGGGCTCCTGGGCCTGGACAGACCAGAGCCACCACAGAGCAGGCCTAGGCCCTATATCGAGTGACCCCCCTGGCCCAGCTCTGAGTTCCAGGCCTCTGGTTGCAGCCCACACTTGAGGTCCGCAGGAAATATCCTGCCCACCACATGGAGTTTTTCTCATGTCTCAGGTCTAAAGGCTTTGAACAGCAGCCTGTGCCCCTTGAGCACCAGGGCTGTGGTTTAAAGAGGGACAGCCTTCCAAGGCTGGGTGCTGCCTGCTGGGTGCTGCCCATAGGGTGGGGCTGCCCTCCCTTCCTGCCACCTGGGTGTGTGCCATGGCAGAGCATGGGGGCAGGGGTAGGGGCACGGACTTGTGCCTGTGGCTTGCTGCCTCTTGCAAATAAGTGGCTCTCCCTCTTTAAAACAAGTTGGATGCTAGATGGGTAAGTGCGACCTCGGGCCTCTCGCTCCTGGGGGCCTTCCTTCCTCCCTTGCCCTGGCCCAAGCCCCCATCTAACCATGTCTGCTGTGCTTCCAGGAGTTAGGGCTAAAGGTCAACCAGCCAGCCTCTTTTGCAGTCAGCCTGAATGGGGCCAAAGGGGTGATCGATGCCAAGGTGGCCCCTCAGGAGCCCTGGAGGAGTGCTGTGCCACAGAAATTGACCAAGGTGAGCCCCTGTCCCTGCCCGGCCACCCTGCCCTGCTGGCTGGAAGGAGGCTGAGAGTACAAAAGGAATGTACCGCTTCTGTAAGCAGCCAAGACGGGGCCCCAACTCCTGGGCTGCCTTTGCCAGGCCACCCTTTCCCAATTGGTGACCCAAGCCCTTGGGGATGTGGCTTGTCAGTCATGGCCATTAGGAAGGCCTCCTGCCTGCAGTACTCTCTCCACAGGGACAGACCCAGAGTCCAGCCTCAGTGCTGCCCGGCCCTTTAGCTGCAACCACAGGACTTGCAGATAGGCCCAGGGCAACCTTGGGGGTAGGAGGAGCCCAGCGGGCTTTGTTTGACAGCCTAGTCCTGCCCTTCCCAGCTGCATGACCTGAAGCAAGTTCCTGCCTGTCTCTGAGCCTGTTAACACACAGATGGTGTTCGGGTGTGGCTTGCCTAAGGTTTCTGTCCCAATGATCCCTGACAGCGAGTGGCTTGAGTTTCTAAAGCTTCGGGCCTCAGGAAGTCTGCTGCAGGGTGCAGGTGTCCAGCATGGCACCAGAAGAAACAGTGGGCCCCACTGAGCTGCTGGGCTCACTGATGGGCCGGCAAAATGGGAAGGGTGAGGGTTGAGGCTGTTCCTCACAGATACCATTTGCTGGTTTGAGGAGGGGCCCCAGGCCCACAGCATGGCTCTCTGCTCCTCAGATAAGTATGCTGTGTGCTTTATCACTCAGGAGAATGGCGTTTACCTGATTGATGTCAAGTTCAATGGCACCCACATCCTGGAAGCCCCTTCAAGATCCGAGCCGGGGAGCCTGGGCATGGAGAAGACCCAGGCTTGGTGTCTGCCTATGGAGACTGCACAGTTGAGTCTGTGGACCCTGCCTCCAAGCTCTGGGCGATAACAGGAGGCATCTGGAGGTGATGGCCAGGGATGGGGAGGCAGGCCAGTCTGGCTCTGCCTGACCTCTGTGCTCCCAGGGAGCCCAGCTGAGTTCATCATGAACATGAGCAATGCGGGAGCTGGTGCCCTCTCGGTGACCACTGACGGCCCCTCCAAGGTGAAGATGGATTGCCAGAAGTGCCCTGAGGGCTACCGTGTCACCATTACCCCCATGGCACCTGGCAGCTACCTCATCTCCATCAAGTATGGCGCCCTACCACATTGGGAGCAGCCCCTTCAAAGCCAAAGTCACAGGTGAGCCTGGGGCCAAGCTGTTGGCACCTGCCCAATGACTGGCACTGTGGCCACCTCTTAGCCCCACCCACTCTGTCCTGCAGCCAATCCCAGGTGCCCTGGGCCCGCTGCTGAACACAACTCAACTGTGCCCCTGCCATGGACTCCCACACCAACCTGTGTCTCTGACTGAAGACTGCCCCAAACACATCCTGGACATCCCCACTGCAGCCCACAAAGCTGCCCGTTTCCTGGGCCAAGGACTGCAGGTGGCTTTGGCCCTTGTTCAAACCCCTGACAAGGATATCACCATCCCAGCATCTGCAGACAAAGGCCAGGCGCTAAGGCTCTCGGGGGCAAGGCCCAGCTTCCATGCCAGGCCCTCCCTCAGCTCCACAGCATCTCACACAAAGCTCTAGGGGTCCCCATGACCTCAGAGCACACAGCCCAAGGCCAGGCACATGAGCGAGGGGAAGGAGAGGACCAGGCCACAGCCTGTAGCCATCCCACACGTCAATCCCAGGCCTCCTGAGAGCTCAGCACCCTGTGTGCCCTCCTTGATCCCTAATGAGGGGGCAGAGTAGAAAGAGCAGCAGCAGCTCAGGCAGAATCGTTACTTTTATTTCTGATTGAGGCTGGGCTGCTGGCCCCAGGCTCAGGGCGTCCACTCACTGGGAGACACGAGCAAGCAAGACACAGAACCCCCAGCCCCAGACACTCTACTGCTCCCACTGGGCCCAATGGCATAGAGGCAAAGGGGCCAAGCATGCTCTGGAAGCCTCTAGAAGCCACTAGCTGAATGGGGGTGGGAGGCAGCAGAGCCAGGCCCAGAAAGATCCAGTGCCAGTGGGCAGGATGACAGGTCCCCCTGAGGTCCCAACCTGTCGGCTCAGCCCATGGTGTGCTCAGGACTCTGAACCTCTGGGGTGCCCCCTCCTGCCCTGGGTCACCTGGAGTCTCCTGCCCCCTCCTTGTGGCGGCTCCATCGCATCCTCTCCCAAGCCCATGCCTGGCAGGGCCACCGGGAGAACCACCCTGGGGCTGGGCTAGGTGAACCAGGGGTGCCCATCCCCCAACCCTCTAGATGATACCCAGGCTGGAGGGACACATGTGGGGAGGCAAGGGTGGAAGACAGACTGGGGGGATCCAGGCTCCTGGGGCCTGCCCTGGCGGGAGGTCACAGGCCTCACGGGGCCTGGAGGCCACCCAGGCAGGCAGGCAGCAGGGAAAGTGATCGGCATGGTCCTGGCCAGGGGCCTCCCCAGGGAGGCCGGGCAAGTAGGAGCAAAAACAAGAGCACAGGCCCCCACCCTGCTGGGGCTTATGGCCTGCGGACCCAGCCACAGAGGAAGACTCAGGAGGACCCGCCAGACTACTAGGAGAACATGAAGGGTGCACAGGCCCCCAATCTGGAGGATGTGTCTGGACTGAGTCCAAGGAGGGCAGGGAGGGGGGTAGCCCAGCTGACCTTCCCTCACCCCAGCCACACCCCTGGCACCCCAACCTTCCCTTCTGCCTTCTGACAGCCCCATCCCCACTCTCCCAGGAAACTGGGAGGGAGCCTGGAGAGGAAAGGGAAGCAATAGCCCCTCAGAGCGGGACTCCCTGAAATCTACAGCCAGGGATTGAGTCCAGCACTCAGTCACTGCTGGGAACCCTGGCCAGGAGTCCCTCTGGGTTCGCGCAGGGAGGCCTGGGCTCCACTCCAGGGCTCTGGGCTCCTCCAGGCGGACCTGGGAATCTGCCTGGGAAGCTTAGGGGACTGGCCCAGCACAGGGAGGGGCTCAGGCTGGAAACCAAGCAGACAGGGTACCCCCAACCAAGGGCCGAGGAGGACAGGAAGCAGGCGACTATGGGAAGACCCCCGCCACCACCCACCCCAACTTGGCACACAAAGGCCCAGAGAGGCCCCCAGGCATTACTGTGGGGGTGTTTGACAACACCTGCAGAGGGGCTGGGTGTCCCAGGCACACAGAAAGCTTGCAGGGCCCAGCTGAGGCTAGGACACCAGCAGGTGGTGGCTAGGAGGTGACTGACCGGGGCCCCAAGCTGCATGGGGGGGCAGGCCCGAGACAGGATCTCTCTGAAGAGGTGCTGTACCCAGCCAGGGCTCCCAGAGACATAGGTGGTGGGGCCGAGTGCCCCTCACCCTGTGCCTGGACCCCAAGAAAGGGTATCCTCCTCAGACACAGTGTCCAGGGCAGGGCACTCCCAAACCAAGACACCCCCTAGGCCAGAGGCTGGGGGTCTGGGGAGGCCCCCCAGGAGGCAGGGCAGCAGCCAAGAGGAGTGCAGTACCTGGGCGCACTCTCCAACTGCAACCAGGGCCCGGTCCCCGAAGGCACCAGCTCTCCCTGGGGGCAGGACCTTGATCCAGAGCAGGAGTGGAGGCTCCCCGACAGGGGACGGCTGGAGAGGCCCTGGGCTCACGAGCCAGGGAGTGGCTGCTCTTTGCCCAGAAGCCCCTGGGTCCTGCCTGGGCTGTTGGTAGCTGCCAAGGCCTGAGGGGTCTGGAGTCCCCCAGGGTGCTCGGGGGCAGCTCCTTTGGGACCCTCAATGGAGCCAGTAAGTCCAGGAGGGCGCCGATCCATCCAGGTGGCTGCACGGCCCAGGACAGGGTCTGGCTGCTGTCGTGACCATGCCCATCTGTGAAACAGGCTGTCCCTGAGCGAGGGCGCTGGGCAGCCGGGGGAGGGAGGATGCAGTCCCCGTCCAGGCCCCCAAGGCCCCCACAGCAGGGAGAGTCGGCCCTCCTCACTGTTCCTTCTCGGGGCACCAGGCCAGTGCCTCAGCTCAAGGGAGAGAGGGGTCACAGAGGACAACCAGCAGGCAGATGGCCCAGGAGCATGGGGGTTCAGGGGGCCTGACCATGCCCTGAGGCACCCCAGGACCCTCTACCCAACACCCCTGGGGACAGTGGTGTCCCCACCTACCAGGAACACATTCCTCAGGGAAGGCCCGGCAACCTGCTCTCCTCCAGTTCAAGGAGAGCCAGGCGGCTTTGGAAGGGGCCAGGAGCTGTCACCAAGGGTCCCTGTATTGCCCAGAGGCGATGGCGGCCAACAGGAAAAACACTCGCTGCCCACAGAACCTCAGTGACAAATTCAGAGCCACCGAGAGAGTGAGAGCATCATCAGAAAGTCACCTGCCAAAGGATGGGGTGCGTCTCCAGGGAAACGAGATGCCAAGGGCCTCCCGGGGCCCCTTCCGGAACCCACCCAGCTCTCAATATCCCACCCCCAAGGCCAGGGGCTGCCCCCACCCCCCCAGCCCAGGATCTGGCAACCCTACACACCCCTCCCTGCCCCAGCCCCTCCCCTTCAGGGCTGCATGGGGAAAGGAGAGGCCTCCTCTGTCTGCAGAGCGAGGTCGCCCCACCTAGGGCAGAGAGGAGGAGGGTGTTGGAGGTGCGGGGCACATCCTGCCACCCAGGCTGGCGTGGGGCACTCACACCGTGCAGAAGCGGCTGCAGTGACCACAAGCCTCCCGCTGGCTCCTGGGGATGTAGGACCGGGACTCCTGGACCAGTGCTGGGAAAGACTTCCATGAAGGGCCAGAGAGCACACGACGCAGCCCCTGTGGGACACACGGGGTCTCTGTGGCAGAGTCTCCCTTCTCGGGGTTCTCTGTGATGGGTGTTGCAGATGTCAAAGCATGCTCCGCCCTCAGAAATGCAGGCCCCGGCCAGTGTCAGCCCCAGGAGGTGGCCTGCTGCTCCTGGCGACACCAAGGACACTCTCTTGAGGCGGCCCTTCCTCTCGGGGCTTCCAGCAGCCGACACAGGTCTACACGTGCAAGGGCGCTTCTGACTCACAGCACGCAGGAACAGTCTCCACCCTGAGCATGGCGCCCTCTCCAGCATGCTCCAGGGTGGACCTGTGAGACCACTGAAAACCACAGAGGAGAGAGGTGAGGCGAGTCACTTAGGATACCAGGTAGTACACAGATTGTGGCTGGGTCTGGGGCGCCCTCCCCTGCTGGTTCGATTGGATTGCAGGTCTGCAGGAAGCCCGGCAGCCCTGTGAGGAGGGCGGGGGGCTGAGGCCTCCTGCCACAGCCTCTTCAGTCAGTCAGATAGGATGGCTGGGCCCCAGTGGGCACCTTCACCGCAGCCTGAGAGGGACCCTGGGCCATACTCCCCGAGAGCCCTCCCAGAGCGGGTCCCTCAGAACCCTGGGGGATGAGGAGCACCAGGTGGGGAAGGACCAAAACGTGGGGTCACCTGTTACCCAGCAGTCGGAACCGGTGCCCAGCATCCAGGGGGCAAGACACGGTGTGAGCCAGAAGGAAACAAACGAACAAGAACCCCCAGAAGCCGTCAGGAAAGCCTGGAGCTTCTGATGACACGACAACTAAAATCCCGTCTGACCAAGCACAACCCGCAGACCACACAGTCAAGAGACAAGTGATAACATGGGAAAAAACAGTAGCAAGAGGTGACTAAGGGCTCGCGTCGGTCACACACATACACACACAGGGCCAGACACACGAGTGGACAAGGCACCGTGCAAGGACAAGGGAGCCAAAGCGGGCGGAGGAGAGGAAGTGTCTTCTCCACCAGGATGCAATCCCCTCGGGGCAAAGACACCCAGCAGGGTCGCCAGAGCCGCGGCGGAGACGGGAAGTGTCGGAGCCCAGCCAAGAGGAACCAGAGCAGACGGGCCAAACCCAGTGGCCAGCTCCCAGGTGGGTGGTGGCGCTGGGGGGAGCCGCCTGGGCAGCATCACCAGCAGCTGGGAACCCTCCTGGCGCGGGAAGGATGGCGGGAAACGCGGGGCTTTCCCGGAAACCCTGGGCGGGGCCCCGCAGTCGTTCCAGGAACCCTCCCGCGGGAAGACCGGCCGGAGGGATGGCTCGGTCGAGGGAAGCCACCGCCTTTTCTGCGGGGCTCGCCTTCCCCACCTCCCCGAGGAGCCAGTCTGGCGGGAAGCGCCCCAGCCCACGGCCGCCCGCAGCAGAGCAGGATTCCCTCCCCGGCGGCCACGGCTGTCAAGGGACGGGGAAGACTTTGTTACCCCACCGCGCGCCACCCGCGGAATGGTGCACAGACACCTCCAGACGCCACCTCCCCCAGGACGCCTGACTGGGCCCGCTCTGCCCACCTCGGGTGGGGTCGGCGCTGCTTCCCCAGGACCCCGCAGACGCGCCCCGAGGCGCTTCCAGAGCACAGTGGAGTGGGAAGGGCGGGGCGGCCCCTCTGCGGCGCC